TAAGAATGGCGTAAGTAGCCTTAAGAGACAAATCGCACCGATGCTGCAATCAGCGTCTGCGTTCAAAATCTATACGAAAAAAGTTTTGCTTAATATCAAAATTTTGTGTTGCACGTAGTATCATTTCCTTGTAAGATGAATTTTTAATGTTATAATGTTGTTTAACTAGGGGCCCCACCTCTTGATTTCTGCGCTCGCCAATCCCCGGAATTGCTTTCGCAGGTCTATTCGGCTTGCTTTGGAATTCAACTTTCATTACTCACCTACTTGATTTTTATACATTTTAGTTTAGTTATGTATGTTTTTTTGGTATTTTTTTAATATATATAAAGTTTTAAAAACATGTAATAAATACATCTTGTGAAACGATTGATTTATAAGCATTACATTCAGTTTATATACCTTACGTTTTAATTTATATACAATTGGGTATACTATAGCCTACGTCACAGATCGTGTTATTCCTACTAAATTTAACTAGTAAACAGCATTTTCGGCGAATCTGATTTCTTGCAACAAATAAAAGCATCAAACGAAGTGTCTTGTTTATAAGTCGTTACTCGCCAGGTTGGAATTGTATTAGTCTAGTTCCTTTGGAAATAATTTATATTGTTGTTTTACCGAAGTTTATGAATTTAGTAAGCGTATTTAAAACTCAGTTTATTAATTAAACTAAAAGGTAAATGTTAGTCCTAGTAAGTGGAAGTAGTTGTGCTTTTTTCATATTATACCCAATTCCTAACTACTTGAAAATTACGTTTAGATCAATTAATTCATAGAATTTCTCTTTATATACATTTATAAATTTCGATGTTTGAAGAAATAACAATTTTATGTCCTTCATTCCAGCGTTAACTCGTAAAATGCATAAAAACCAAAAACAAGGTTCAGAATTTGAAGAAAAAAATGGCGCACTAAAAAGTAGTATTCTAGGGTTAAAAAATAAATCAACTGTAAAGAATGAGAAACGAATTTCTAGCCACTTTCCATAGATAAAGCACATCTCTCTCCTATGTTTATTAGGCATTATTAAAACTATTATATACCTCCAAATTACTGTGTTACGCCAAAAAACTAATAAATAGAACAGTTCATTTGTAAGCACGAACAGTTCCTTCTAGCCTCGAATTTCTGATCAGCTGTTAGCTCAGTTCGATTCAGCTTTTCGTTGCCAACGCGAGAGACGAAACTTCATCTACAGGTTTACTGACAATATACGGATTAGTGTTTAATATAATATAGATAACGTTCTTAATTTTATACTTTCTGTCGAGGAGAAGTTTATTAATTTATGCCAGTCCTAAGATGAAGTGGAATCTAAGGTCTAACACTAACGTTATATTTCATTTCAAAGTAACAACACGTTCCCAGAAAACAGCCTTCATTTATTATTTTGGTGAAGGAAAGTAAGAGAAATTGCTCTTCCCTCGAAAATTGGACAAAGTAATAGCATTCACTACCTCTGAAGCGCCAACTCATGTTTTGATCGAATAAACCTTTCAGAATAAGTTTGGCTCTGGGGAGATTTAGAAGGAAGAATGCTGTTGGCTTGAGATTTATTGCTGAGTTTCAGTAGTGGATTACTTAGGCAAAGCAAATTCTTGTTTATTTTGGTTCGGGGAGAGACAGTTTCACACCAAAGACACAAAACTTTGCTGTCCATTTTGACGGCTTAGCTCTTGCAAGGACGAAGTAAGTTTAAGTAATAAAAGTTTGATCAGAGTAATTGGAATTCTAAAGTTTTGCCGTAGAAATCAGCAAAATTTCTTGCTGTGAATTATGAAGCGACGTGAAAGGATTAGAAGGGAGATTGGTTTTGGCAAGCAGCCAATGAAGTTAATCCTACAAACCAGCATTTACAAATAAAATTAAAGGGAGTTTTGTAATGAAATTCCTTAATATATGTTTTTAGAATCCTTGTAAACAATGAAGTTAAAAAAAAGTTTATGTATCTGCTAATACTCGAAAACGGTTTGTGTGCAAATTACCTGATAATCCGCAGATTTACTGCTTTACTCCATTAAACTGTGAAAACATGTCTTTTCCATATTTTATCTAGATAATTACATTAACGTTCAAATTAACACCTTCATCCTGGCAATGAGCCGCGATGGCTTAGGGATAGAACGTTCGCCTTCCAATGAGGTGAACCGGGTTCGAATCCCAGCAATGGCTGGTTAATACGAATTCCGAATTCCGCATCCGGCTTGCAACGACCACCGTACTGAGGTGAAATATCCTCAGTGATAGATAGACGGATCATGAGTTAAGATCCCATTGCCATCACGCTAACCATGAGAGGTTCTCGTGGTCTTCCTCTCCATGTAACGCAAATACAGGTTAGTTCTATCAAAAAGTCCTCCACGAAGGCAAATTTGTCTTCTGGAGGCCCTTGTCTTCTGGATTGGGTTCAAAATTACAAGGCTACGGAGTTGAACATTAGTAGTCGTAAATCCTAAAATTGGGTCGACTGTTCAACTACGGTTATAATATATTCATTACGGCAATGACACGCTTTTTTCCCACCCTCTGAGCTTAGTTTCCTCGCAACACTAAAACTGAAACAAAACACAAATTCCTTCAAAACTTGTTTATTTTATTGTAAAAAATAATAATCAATTGCAATTAAAAACCTAATTCACTAATGCAACAAAAGAGCATAACGAATATTCTTGGAAGACGAGTTATCTCGTCCATCGTGATGAAAGAGTTAACGTCATCCGCATTGTTAATGTCCATAAATTTGCTTCTCTAATTCCGTCAACTAATGTGTTGATTGTTTTGACTTTATTTTTCAGGTATCGAAAAATAAACAAATGGCGTTGTATGTTAATTTTCTAAGTTGTAAAACTATTTTAAAAACTTTGAGGTTGCTTGTATTATATTATTTAAATTAATTAATTCTATCAACTTATTTATTTATTGTAGTTACGCGTTTTATTTTTTAATATCGAAAAATAAATAGATAATATTTTGTTAATTTAAGCTTACTGAAACGTTGCTGTTGTTTTTATCAAAGATCCCATTTTCACTTTACCGATTGCTTAGTAGTTAAAGTGCAGATTATTTAGGTAGTTTGTTGATAATCTAGGTCAGGGATGGCGAACCAATGGCACGCGTGCCATTTATGGCACGTGACACAATGTTTTGGACACGCCACCGATCACAATTGTTATTGCACTGTGAATTGTTATTACACTATGAAGCATATGTAACAATTAAATTAAAATTCCCAAACAACAAACAAAATAGTAGACAATTATTAATAAAGAAATAAACAATTAATGCTAAAAAAACAATTAATAACCATAAAAAACAAGCTAACAATAAATAACTAGCAAATAAAAAATAGCAGTACTGCATAAACTAACATCTTGCGACCTAATATAAGTCATTCGTCATCTAATCTGCAGCAACAGAAGTCACACTGATGTTACTTTAAGTTGAATTACGCGTATAACTGAGACATTGCAAAATGTTTTATTTTTCGATGTAAATAAAGAATTTTGAGTTGATAGTGCTTAGTATTATTATTTTCCCAATAATCACGAAGTCAAAATTATTTGACGGCACGTGTCTATGACCTAATTAAACAATTTTCTAGAAAAAATGGCACGTTGGTGTATGAAGGTTCGCCACCCCTGATCTAGGTAAAGAGAAACGAAACAATCTTTGGTACTTTAACAAATCATCCTTGTTAATCTATACATTAAATAGATAATCAGCGAAATAATTTATTTCTACTCTTTAGCAAAACATACCTCTGGTTCAAAGTTGAAACGACACTTCAGCACTCCCTTCTCATGTTATTTGAATGAGAAGTGAGTGCAGAAGTGTCGTTTTAACTTTGAACCAGCGGTACACACTAGGAGTTTTAAGTTATATTTAAGCGAGAAAAACAAGCTCTATCAAATATAACGAATCACTTCTGAAAGTGAGATCTACTTGATTGCATTAAGAAGCAAAGAGGAATTGAAAAGAGATAATTAAAAACTCCGCATTTCCCCTAGAGTGCCTCTATCTAACTTTAGTTTGAGAGTTACGACAATCGCTTCAAAATTGTCGTAACATTAGGGTTGCGAAAGAGATTGATTGAAGAGTGGTTACTATACTTGGCGACGCCTCTTTCTGATTTCACTTTCGTCATCTATGTTGGGAATTTTTTGCTCCCATAGTGATTTTTATTGTTATATTAATCTCCGTTTTTTTTAATAGGCTGCGATGTTCGGGTTAAAGTTTATGTTAATGAAATTTGTGAATAGAATTTTAATTAAAAGAGTAAATTATTGATAACTTTTTTAAAAAATTCGATTAGTAAAAGTTTGTTTCAATTATTTCCATAAACATATTTTTATCACTTAACCGCTTCTCTTACTAATGTTTTTGGAACAAAATACAAAAAATCAACATATTTTTTTCAGTTTGTTAATAAATATAAGGAACTAAAATTAAGCATAATACGCAAATTTTAAGTTGAAGTTTTAATTTTTTTTATATGTAAAGAAACATTTAATTTAACATCAATTTAGTATCCTGAGTTATCTCTGACAAATGAAAAAAGTTAAATATTAGTCTTTGTATAATAGTTATCAAACTTGCAACAACTCAACACAAAGTGATACTTTCTAAACGCCAGTGAAGTGGTACGCCATTTTTTTTCTATGTAAATTAGGCAACCATTGTATATACATACAATCGCAAGAAACACATGTGCAGTGCAGCAATAAAACAACAAAACTCACTAACAAAACTTGGCAAGCTTCCAATTTTTTTTTCCATTCTTCCGGCTGACTAAAAACGTGATAAAATAAAACGTACTGACAAATTCTGCTACTCCCGAATTTTCTAGGGATAACAAATCTTTGCAATATATACGTAGAGTTAACTAGGGATAATCAGGTTAGCAATTAAATAAATACTTTTATCTTAATAAATATATCCTTTTTATTTTATTTTTATTAACCCAATGAAATATTGCTATCTTTACAATAGAATCTCAGTGGATGAATGTCTGTGTGGGTGAAATCCTGCAGTCAAAATTTAGATTACTTTCCAACTAGCTAGAGTGCTTGAAACTACCAAAGCTCCGTTCCCGATGTCAATGGAAGAATTATTTTTCGGCAGCTATCAGCAGAGTTTAACACTATATTACCGTAAAATAGAATTGATCATCAAACGAAATTTTCCGATCAGAGTAAGTACAGCACTCAACTTTGAACTAAAGCTCTATGCTGGATTAGATTATTATTTGCAATAATTTTTAACCACTTATAGCAGTAGTATTGCCAAAAAAAAGGTCAAATTTTCGACCACTTTCTAATTAACTAGAGTGTTCGTATAATAAGAACCCCTTCTGGTTTCACGACAATTTAAGTTTCAGTAATTTCTAGATCAATACAATCAGAATTTATCACCACATTATCGCAAAGTTTATGTATCCTTGGTAAAAATTTCGACAACTTTACAAAACACTAGAGTATTTAATTCTCCGAGCCTAATGAGTAATTAAATAATAATAATTTCCTGATAATTTTGCCATAACCAGAGTATATCGTCACATTATTCCTTCTAGATATTTATAGTCAATTGAAGTTTCAACAATTGTCCCATTAGCTAAAGTAAATTATAAATAGATCTCTGTAATGGATGGCATCTCAAGCTTCAATCATTCCCTAAACATTACATGCAGTATGATATTTCCAAAAGAATAAAATGATAATCCAAATTTTAACGGCTAGTTAAAATGCTTAAAAATGAACTGCGTACGAGGGCAATGCTAATTTTGATTTTCTCTTGAACTCTAGAAGCATGATTTATATAATGAAATAGAATTTATCGTCACTCGTCATTTCGGCAACTTTCAACAGGAAATCTGCGTCTGAAGATAATTCAGTCATTTTGTTAATAACGCTACCAAAGTTTATCAGCAATCAAAATTTTTACCACTCTCCAACATAAACAGATACAAAATTTTTGCCAGACCCAAAACAAGAACCGTAGGGCACATCACACTTTCACAGTACACCTCTCACCACAGATAATGAGCATCCAACATCTTTCGAAAAATAATGAGCTTTAGGTGTTGCAAAAAATAATTTTTTTTCTCTTCTTTAAATCAGTTGAAAATTGAAGTTTTTAAATTTTGTGTCAATTTGCCATAACAAATTTCTATTTTTAATTAAAAACAACTTTTATATAAATCTGCATATTACTTTCTGCAGATTAAATCTGCAACTTTTATATAAATCTGCATTAAAAAATAATTTTATCCTTAAATTTAGAAAATAAAATTTAATGACACACTTAATAATTATTAATGAATTCGAAATTTAATCATTAAATAAAATTTGTGCGAAACACAAATAGTAGCAAGATTTTTTTCTGTGATTAGGAATACATTAGAAAAAAGCAGCACTCATTAAGATTCATGGTGATATCATTTATCAATAAAAATAAAAGAATATTGTAATATATGCATAACATATGGACGATTTATCGTCATTTTAACAATTTGAGCAAAGATTGTAGGAAACCTGTCCTTAAAAAATAATTATATTCCTTATTAAGGGAAATTAAATTCAAGATTTTTGGCAATTCTAAAGATATTGAGTGTAGAACTCTTTACATGGTATATAAGTTAGTAATAATTTTTGTAATTAGCTTGAGAGAATTGTGATTAACTTAGAGAATTAGCTTGAAAATAGTTTTATAGTAAAGCAAAGAATCTTAAAATTGATTGCTAAAAAGGAATTTAATACATATCTATGCCTATTTTACAAAACGTCTAGCTATTAATTCAGATTTATATTTTCAGTTTAACTCAAAATGACAAATGGTACTTTTCTATTCAATAGTGCATAAATAAATTATTCAAAATTTAATACGATTGCTTTTTAACTAAAGAATAAATTGACATTAAAATAAACTAGTTTGCATTTTTATAAAAGACTGAATAATTAGTAAAGATTTCAGTCATTAAAAAAAATTCTTAACTAGAAGATTAACGCAAATCCATGAAGACACCGAAAAAATATTTAAACTCTCAAATCTAAAAATGCTTCAAAGGAAAACAGAAACAAAAACATAAATACAATGCATAAATCAAAAATATAAGCAATCGACGTAATTAATCAAAATTAATGAATAAACAGTATCTTTTGATCTTCTATAAGCTGGAATACAAAGAGCTCATTGTTGCTATAGCACTAATATTTAGTGACATTCTGTTTTTCTTTTCTCAGCCAAGAGATATAAAAAATTACGGCAGAGTTACGGCAAATTGTTGATGAGCAGATTAAGCTTTTTAAGCATAAAAATGCAACTGTACTTTCTGCTTGCTTGCGAAGTTTTTTATTACAAATAATATTTTAGCAAGAAAGCTAACATTTGGCCAAAAAATCAACAATTTATTCATCATATGATAACACAAATAACTTGATAAAAGAGAAAAGTAGAGCTATCATAATTTTTAAAATTTAATTATTTCACAAAATGAACGGTCTTTAAACATTAAATTTGCGCATAATAGAAACTTTAAATAAATAAGATTAGTCTTAGAGGCAAGAAAAAAGTATACGCAAGTATAATTTTGAGATTCCATCAGATAAAAATATTTTGCTCATTACTCTGTGTTACGTTTCGCTCTATGTTACGTTTCGATCTATGTTAATACTTGTTTCTTTTTATTTCGATAATTTTTGGCTCTCAGTCTATCGGAAAATGCTATCCGTATGCCGCAACTCATTAACAAAGTTAGTTACCACGAACTCTAGTTTCAACAAGTAATCAAAGAAATTTATAGATTTCCAGTCGCGCTTTCCTCACTAATGAATCGTTAGATTTTGATAGCGTTTTTTTATTTATTTATCGCTTAAATATTAAATTGCCACTCTAAATTAGCATTAATGGATTTTATTTTTATTTCAAATGTTCTACGAATATGTATTAAAAGCGGTTATTGTGAAAAACCCTGGATGAGTCGTGATCTACTAAAAGCCGGTCTTAGGAAGATTCCATACGATCCTTAAACACAAAAGAGATTTTTTTATTTTTGTTTTCCTCCTTTTTCCTTCCTGTTTTGCTTTAGTCTTAGTTTATAATACACATTGACTCTATTCTATTAAGAACTTAAAAACAATCAGAGTTTAGGACATTATATCCGCTTCCGTCTCTTTTGAATTTATCTAAATTCTAAATTCAGTCAACCAACTGACCAATGAATGAAGTATAAAAAATAATGGTTAATCGTTCATTTTTTTTAAAGCTGACCAAAGTATAATGTGCAAGTTTTTTTTTTTTTTAAAATAAACACCATTTTTAGAAAAATACTTCTAGTTCATTAAAAATTTCTCTAAAAATAACTATTCACGAATATTAACTTTTTATCGGGTGTCAAAGATGTTATAACGCATTTTATATAACACTGTATTACACATTAAATACATTTTATTTGCAAATTTCTTCTGAAATTATTTTTGGAATTTATTCAAGAATGAATCGAAAAAATTTATATATGCAGGATTATGATGGCTTAAAAAAGATTTTATTTATCAAATCTATTTCCCCGAGAGGCACAAAACTATAAAAATATCGCTCTAAATTGCTCCAAAGCCAAGGAAAATTACTGTTTCAAATAAAATACCAACTCTCAAACGCATCTGCGCCATTGCTTATCTTTCTCTGTAAAACTGTTTCTCTGCACGGAGAGACTTTATGCAGTGAAGTGAAGAAAACATTTTTTCATCCCGCCATAAGATTTCAGTTCGAGAAATAACGTTAACGAAAAACTCGTTTATTGCGTTTATTACGTTTGTGTTTTTTTTATTTACCAAGAGCCCCGATTTGCAGTTATTTATAATCAGTTAGATTCCTTTGCGCTTGTTAATCGATTAATTCGTATGTCTAGAATCAATTAAGGAAATAAGCCAAAATTTTTAGGTAATAAGTGAAACAGTCGGTACTTCGTAAAAAAAGATATAAAAACTTGTAAACGTAATAAATCAATTAATCATACTTCAAAAATAATTTTTTTTATTTAAAAATAACGTATTTTCAATTATACTGGGTAGTCTATAAAGGTAATGTGTAGATTATACTGCGTAACTTTTTTTAACAGATCATTGATACTTTCGTCTCACAGATTTCAGATTTTCAGTCTATTTTTCGTCGAAATGTTCAAGTTTAAAAACGTTATAGTATATAAGAGATACATAAATCTTGCGACCTATTTTTAAGGGAGTTAAGACACATCATCAGAAATAAAAAAGCATAGAAACCCAGACCCAGAAATATCGTCATACGCCTCTAGAAACACTCATTAATTATAAATTGTTTAATAATAAGGTCATAATTAGGAAGCATGTGAAAGACGAAATTTTGGAGAATAGGTTCCCATGCAATTTTAATTCTGATGATGTGTCCTAACTGCCATAGAATTATGTCACAACATTTATGCGACAATGACAAAGATCGAATTATTAACTGAGATCGGATTTTTTTTTTCACCCCTGTTATATATAACGTCTTTATGCGTGAATATTTCGACCAAAAATAGACTAAAAATGTCATTTATAAAACATTAAAAAATAGTCTATCTTTCGTGGAAATCTAATTTCAGATTTAAAATCCTGTCACCGAATCAGGTAAGATCGAGTGATTGTATAAATGCAACAAAAAATAGTTCCCGAATGTTATCCCCGTAATTTGAGCAAATTAAACAATTTTCGGTCCTTAAGCGGATCAATCTAGTTATATTGCACATTACTTAGATAATCTGTAGAATAACTGGCTTCAACACTTCAACGGTAATACATATAAGGTGAATTTTTTTTTATCACTGAAAGCTACTTTTTTGCCATCCGGAACTCCATGTGATACACTATTTAGTAAAATTCAAAATGCTGCTCACTTAACAAAGGCTTACGCATTTTTTTTACGTTTTACGAATCCATACTAAACAGGAACTTGTCTAACTCTACGAGACGTTTTATTTAATATTTCATAACCGTCTTGGAGCAGCCAATTGATTGCCTTGGAGCTGATTGGAGCAGCCAATCCAATTATGAGTTTACGAATACCAATGTCCAACTCCGCACCCTTGTAATTGTAATTTTGAACTCAATCCAGAAGAAAAGGGAACTGGATCAAATAGTATTGGAAAAAATTTGCCTTCGTAAAGGACATTTTTATGGAACT